ACAATAAATGACTGAAACCCAGGAATGAATTTGATTTGGAATTGAAACACAGTCAGGAAAGTATATACAATTCCTCAATTAGCATAAGATTTTCAAAAATCGATAAACGCAGGAAATGAACTTATTGGAAAATTCGTTAGACCGTTCAGATCCTAAACACCCTTCACATGCATTTTGAGGTCCGTATTACCAGAGCGAATAATCCCACTTCATTTGACGCTGAACAATTTTAAATGCCGTTTCAACGTTGCAAAAAAACACGTTCAGCAATGAAACTTTCAGCTTGAAAAAATGTTGTTACCTGTTAAAATCCCTGTGGTTTTATCAACTGCAAAGTCTTGAGTGTCCGTAGCCAGCGAGTACGTGACTTTAGCATTATCGCCCTCATCCAGATCGGTGGCATTGGCTCGAAAAATGGCAGTACCGTTCAAGGCATTTTCCGTAACGCGAAAACTGGCCAGGGATTTTTCGAATTTCGGCGCATTATCATTCACGTCCAGCACAGTGATCGGGAGCACCCTGGATGAGCTCTTCTGCGGCCTGCCCAAGTCGTAGACGGTGACGTTCAGGAAATATTCGTACTCCTTTTCCCTGTCCAGGTAGCCGATCACTTTCAGATCTCCCGTTTTCATGTCCACATCGAATTGGGATCGGGAATCTCCACCTGGAAAGAAACCGCAATTCAAAATGAATGTTTCCGAGAAAGGTTCTTCTTTGCTTACCAGAAATCCCATAAACCAGCTCCCCATTGAAGCCCAAGTCGCGATCCCGAGCCTTCAGCCTCACCAGGATCGTCCCGATCAAAACACTTTCATTGACTTTGATTTCGATGGGGAAATCAATGAATTCTGGAGAGTGGACGTTTTGGCCGTAACGTGTGGGCATCATCGGCAAATCCTCCACCTCCAAAGGACCGTTATTGTTTTCGGCTTCAGCCAGCACTTCAGTGAGCCGACGAGCTACCTGAAAAAACATCAAGACTTGCCCACTAGACCCATTCAGCTTCCATGTTTTCTCACCCCAGTGTCTTTGCAGTCGAAAGTTCCAGTATCGTCAGTCAGCAATCGACCACTGCTGAAAACGTTCTTCTTGGTATTCACCAGCTTGAATCTCACTTTGGCAATATCGGCAAAATGGGTGTTGTCGGTAGCGGTCACGTTCAGCTCTCGTTCGCTCACTCGCACATCGTTGAGATCGCAAGAAACAGTGATGGTTCCTGAAGTGGAGTCAATGCTGAAGCAGTTGTCTTCGCTTCCAGACACGATGCGATAACTGATGATGTTTCCCGAATCGAAATCGATGGCCGAAAGGGTGATGATTTCGCTTCCGATCGGTGTATGTCTGGGCAAATTTCCCACACAGTCAATTTTTTCAAATTGCGGACGGTTGTCGTTTATGTCACGAACCTGGAAATTGTTTATTTTGGGCAAAAAGAAGATTGCCGGGTGTGAGCAAAACTTACTTTAACAGTAACTTCCATTTCAGTTTGCCTGCGATACGGTTGCCCCCAATCCGACGCTCTGATCCTCAACACGTACTCTCTTCGCATGCTCTCATAGTCCAGTAGTTGCGTTGTTTTGATCAATCCGGAAAAATGGTCGACTTCAAAAGGAACCTTATTCAAATTGGCGATCAGATAGGAAATGTAGGCGTTCTCGCCTCGGTCCCTGTCTTTGGCATGAACCGTCGTGACCGAAGTACCTGCAGGCATATTTTCATCGATCCAAACAGTCAGCTCGGACTTATCGAAAATCGGGTCATTGTCGTTGGTATCTTCCACGTAGACTTTCACCTGAAACCCATCAATGTTACCAACCACCAGCAGCAGTCTTGGTCGAAGCGAAATTACTTTGGCCGAAGATTGCTTGCGGGTGCCCACATTGCCCTGATCTATTGCCGACACCGTTAAGCTGTAAAACTGCTTAGTTTCGGCATCCAAAGGCACGGCTGTATAGAGCATTCCGGTTTCTGGATTGATGTGAAACTCGCCCCCTTCATTGCCTCCAACAATCTCCAGGAAAACTTGCGCGTTTCGTCCGTCATCGGGATCGCTCACCTTCAGTCTGATTAGGGGCGTGTTTACCGGGGCACTTTCCGGCACTTTCACATCGTAGATTTCCTTGTTGAAAATTGGGGCATTGTCATTCAGATCGGCCAGTTGGACTGGCACCGATTTGTAGCTTTCGCGCGGCGGGATTCCTAATGGAAAAATGCACAGTGTGAGCCCAAGAGTAAAAATATCAAAGTTGCTGATTAGCAGCTCCCAGTCAGTGCTTGAACTACACGGTAATTTCCAATTTATATTTAAATGTATACATAGCTGCATAAGTACGAAACAATTTCCATATAGATAATTATAGTTGCAATGCTATTGGATATTCATTTGCATCCTATTGGGCGCCACGATGGCAATTAGAACAGTTTGATTGGAGAAACTTTGGATGAGCAAAGAACGATTGGAGACGTACCTTTATCGACGGCGCGCAGCTGAAGCTGATAGCCCTGGGGAGTTTTTTCGCGATCGAGCAATTTGAGCACCTCAATATTGTACTCCCCCTTCTGTCTGGTTGGTCGTATCCTGAAATGTCCATCGGGATCCCCGTCTACGATCTCTAATTTATCAATTTCGCCATGAATTCCGCTATCCCTGTCACTCACGTTCACTATCGCGTAAATATCGGCATTACTGTTCTCCACTATGGAGGGGTGTCGTCGGATCCGGATTTCTGGAGCGTAGAGATTCACTTTTTTCACCCGAATATGAACTTGAGCCACACTAAACCCGAAACCGGACTGTGATTGGATGCCGCGATCTTGAGCGTGCACTTTCAGTTCGTGGTACGTTCCCTCATTGTATCTGCGGAATGAAATTAAACAAATATAAAATCCATTGGGAGAGCTTTTTTGCAGCTGATAGAGAGGAACTCACATTAAGGGTCGCGTCAGTGTTATAACGCCGGTGACTGGATGGATGGCGAACTTGTCAGTCTCTTCGGCAAATGAATAGTAGATTTCACCGTTTCGGCCCAAATCGGCATCCTCAGCAATGACCTTAAGGATGCTCTGATGAATCGGCGTATCCTCGGCCACTGTCGCGTTGTACTCAGTTGGATAAAACAGTGGGCTCAGATCGTTCGTATCCAGAACGGTAACCACTACAGTAGTTTCTGATGAGTACTGAACCTAAACAATTTTTTTATCATTTAACTTTCCTCTAATAACTTGACCCCCCTAGTAATTTACTACTTAAATACCGGGCGCCCCGTGAGCACATGACCAAAAGAGCACGGAGACATTCTTTGGCTGAAATGAAGATCAGGTGACCCAACTTTTATTAAGAAAAAATGTCCGGCTCCTCTGCTACTGGTGGTCAAAGTTCTTCAACGAAAATGATTTTTGAAATATCAAGAAAATGATTGAAAGCAACTGAGTTCATCCTTTTTGAGGAAGTAAGGAATTTTTTAGTCTCTTAGTAGAAAAACTACCCAAACTTTTTATTTCGTCGCTCGAATCAACTGATTTTTTTTTGTCAGTTGATGCACTAATCTTAATGTTTTTGGGCCCCTTGTAAAATCTTGGAGCATTCATAGCTTTTGCGCAAAACAATGATTTTCGGTTGTTTGTCGTATTTCAAACCAACTTTGATTTGTTGCTATTTGCAATTTTTAAATCGTAATAGAAAGAAAACGGCAAAAAATATAGGCAATACATATATGTGTTTTTTTACAAACTTCTTTTTGAGTATTTCGCCTCAAAAATGTTTGTCTTTAAAAAAGACAGAATTTCCTCACGTCCTACTATTGTTACACAATTTATTAACATACTCTTTTTTTAGGTTCATTTAGGTTCTTTTGATAACGATAGCAGAAAATAGCTATCGAAACGTC